TTTTTTTGCTGCTTTGCTTCTATTTTTTGTAATTTTTTCGTGTCTTTCAATCACACTTTCTTGCGTCTTTCATTAGTCCGTGTTGCGTTCACTGTCAGCACACGGAGGAGGAAACCCGCCTCTCCGTGTGCGGCTGCAGACTCCGGCAGTGTCCTTGAACACGAGGGTCACCACGGCAGCCGAGGAGGCGTGCACGGACACATGCACGGACACACGCACACCTCTGCTGCTGCTCATTCAGGTGACACAAACGCCACCGACGGCGAACGTGAAAAAAAAAAAAAACAGCCGCGCGAGCACAAAGAACTCCTTCACAGAACTGCCCTAATCAGGTCCCGCGTGAAGACGAGGCTGCCGGTGCAGCTGAAGCGCCGGGATTTTAACGCTTGGCAGGAACGGGATAATAAAAATAAAAGCGGGGGGCTGGCAGCCAGAGAGCGCTGGCAGCTCGGCCGGGAACAAAGGAAAGCGAGGAGGCAGCCGTTCAGCGAGGGCAGCCGCAGCCTCTCATCTTTCACACGGCACAGATTCTAACATTTCACTTGTCCGGGCGCCTGAGAGCACGGAGCTGGGTTGGTTTTTACTTTATTATGTGCAGCACAAAAGCTGCAGAACAAGTTGGAGAGCTGAGGAGGAGAAAGAAGCAGCAGCAGCAGCAGCAGCGAGGCGCCCCGGCAGTCTATTAAAAGCACGAGGTGAGAGCGTCCAATCTATTATTTAGCGGCTGCTGACACCGACACACTGGAAAGACTCGGCGCAGCAGAAATCCAGCAAGAAGGAGAACGAAAAAAAAAAGTAAAAATCACACAAAAAACACCGGGTTCGCCCTTTAAAATCATCAAAATGTGATGGAAGTATTCAGTCAGTGCCCCAAATGTCACATAAAAACACTGAATTAGCCCTTTAAAGGAAGAATCTCACCCCTTGTCTACAGAAATAATAAAAAAAAATGAAAATACTCAACCAGAGTTCTAAATATCACCACAAAAAGACATAAAATCGCAATAAAATGAAGGAAAATGATCATAAAAATATGCAACATCATCACAAAGACGCAAATTACCACTAAAATACACAAAACCACCACAAAAANAACAACAATAATAATAATAATAATACATATATTGTCTCTAAAATGTCAGAAAATGGTGAAAAATGTGGACCAGGTTCCTCAAAAGTCTCATTTAGTCCAAATATCTTCAGTTTAGAATCACAGAAACCAGAAAATATTCACACTGAAGAAGCTGAAATCAATGAATTCCCTCAAAAAGTGTCTCAAACTGATTAATTGATTATAAAAATAGTTGCCGATGTTATCTTTTATTTTTCTTTTCTTCTAAAAAGTCATCCTGCGACTTCATTTTAATCCTATTTCGGTCATTAAATAAACACTGTAGTGAAACAAAGCAGAGCAGGAAGCTGAATGTTTGCAGATTTCAGCGTCTCAAAGGAGAAGATTTGCTGCTTTTCTGTGTAAACTGAATATCTGCAGGTTTGTTTTTCTCTTTCGATGATTAAAACTAAATGTGTGAAGGTGAAGCTCAGCTGGTTTAGTGTCACAGAAGACAGAAACCAGGAAACGTTTAGACAGCTACAGATGAGTTTAACAGGTGATTAAATCTGGGCTGATTCTGACTTTGAATCAATGACGTCTTCAGCTGACGTCTTCGTGCCAGAAAAGCAGAAAAGTTGGGAAAGAAGTCCAAACTTCACCAACTACAACAACAGAAACACTATTTCTGGAGGAGGCGATGACTTGGACCCTCTCAGAGCGAGTCCCGGCCGACCCGAACACGCCAGAGTTACATAACCGAGCAGCCACACGGAGGGAAACGAGCTCTTTGTGTTTGTGGCATCACGACAGTTTGCCGTGATGTGGGCTCTGAGAAGCACCCATGCATCACTGATCAGCTGGAGGCCTCGGGGACAGAGGGCTGGTGGAGGAGAGGCTCTAAAGAGTCCGACCGGGTCCATTAGAGGGTGGAACCAACCACGACGGCCGACCTGATCCGACCTGATCCGACCGGCGTCTCAGAGACACTTCAGACACAGAAACGTAGATTTCTGAGCACAGGAATAGAAACTAATGGTTTAGATAGAACACAGAGTGAAAGCCCGGCAGGGTTCTGGTCCGGTCTAGTGAAGCAGCTGAATGATGAGACGTGAGGATAAATACAGAAAACAGACTTTTCAACAAGTTTAGTTCATCGAGGTTTCACGTATTCAAGCATAAAACACATTTCTGTTGATCCAATCATCAAAAATGACAGAAAAACGCACCGATTTCTTTGGTTTTGTGATGAATTTGCATCTTTTTCTGGTAATCTTCTGTCTTTTTGTGTATTTTTCTGGTAATTTTACATCTTTTTGTGTCCTCTGTGGCAATTTTGTGTATTTTTGTCATAACTTTGAT